CTCAAAAACAAGACAAATGACAACAACAACAACAAACCCACTGTTTTTGTGGTGTTAATACTGAGAGTCTTCAAACTATCATTTCCATTTGACAGCTGTTCTCTGCTGGATTCTGCAAATGGGGGCCCCAGAGGGAGAGCTTGTGGTGGGGGTGGCGGGGAGAAGGGATTGCTGTTTGCTTCCTGAGAACTTGACTTACTCAATTCTAGGAGTGTCACCCTACTCATACTTTGCCTGACAATGACAGCTATGTCAGTAAACTGCATCCAGTGCACAGATTCCCCAGAAATGGCAAAGCCAGCCCCTTTATGCCCCTCCAAGACACTAGTGCCTCCTGGCTATGTCTTTCCCTAGAGGTTTGAATTTCAGCTCCATGAAGTTCCTCCTCTAAGCTTCTAAGCTTTAATAGTTTCAACCACTTCCCTCTTGTCCTCCCAAACCCAGGTTTGCTACCTCCAGGCTAGTTTAGTATTTGCTTTTCCTTTTCTGTTACCAAGTAAATAATTCTTTCTGCTTGGTTTACAATCCTGGATATTAAATTTTCTCTGGTGCAGGGCTCCCATTTCTATGCAACATGAAGTAATGGGCTGGAATAGCTTAAACATTTTAGAAAAATAAATGAAATTATTGTTTTTGAGACACTGGAAATCAGTTAATGAAGGACAGTGATGCCAGAGAGAAGGAACTAACTGAGGTAAGTTCTGTGAGTGCCCCCATGTACTGCCTTAAGAGTGTTCAGGCAGTGGTAAAGTGAAGGGAACCCAGGTAAAGCCCATGATCTCCTTGCAGAAATGAAGCTGGTAGTAAGCAAGTGGCTGGAGTTTGCAGAATACAGCCTTAGGGAGTAGAAAAGCTCCCTTTGAAAGACATAAACAATGAATAGACAAGCCACAGTCTGGGAGAAAATATTTGAAAGCAAGTATCTGAGAAAGGTCTTTTATCCAGAATATATGAAGAATGTTCAAATCTCAATGTTAAGAAAACACTCCAGTAAAAAAGGGGGAAGATTATAAACTTATACAGACCCTTCACAGAGAAGATATACAGATGGTAAATAAACACACCAAGAGATGTTCAACACCAACAGTCATTAAGGAAATGCAAATTAAAATTACAAGATACCACAACACATCTGTATTAGAATTCTAAAATTTAAAAGACATCATATGTGAGGACGAGGAAGCATTAGTTCTTTCACACACTGCTGGTGAATATGTAAAATGCTGTACTTGGGGATAACACTTCTGGAGTTTCTTAAAAAGTTAAACAAATGGACTGGGGGTATGGCTCAAGTGGTAGAGTGCATGCATAACAAATGCAAGGCCCTGAGTTCAAACTCCAAAATCATAAAAAAAGAAAAAAGTCTCAAAGAAAGTTAAACATATTGCCTACCATATTTCCCAGGTTTTCCATTCCTAGCTGTTTACCAAAGAGAAAGGAAAATTCATAGCCATACAAAGACTTGTGCAAGAATGGTCGTCTCAGTTTTATTTGTAATAAACTAAACTAGAAATGACCCAATCTCCATCCACAGGCAAATGGATAAATAATTTGTGCTATATACATACAGTGAAATGCTACTGCACAATAAAAAGAAATGAACTATTGAAATATACAAAAAATGGATAAATATTAAATAACCATGCTAAGTAAATAAATACTAAACAATCACACTAAGTAAAAGAATCCAGACAGAGTACATATGTTTCTGTGTATATAAAATTCTAGAAAATGTAAACTACTGTAACACCAAAGACAGAAAACACATCAATGGTTGCTTGGGATGGGGGTACAGTGAGGGGCATGAGAGACTTGTTTGGGGGTGATGGATGCACTTATCTTTATTGTTGTGATGGCTCTGCCAGTACGTATCTATGTCAAAATTTATCAAAACTTACACATAAATGTGTAGTTTACTTATGCAAACCATACATCAATAAAGTAGTAAAAATTGAAAACAAATTAAAATGCTATTAGGATGATAGTGGTTAGACAAACGGCACAAATATTCCTTTTAGTGGCTAATAAACTTTTCTCCTGTGTCTATGGCCTTGGACTCTGCTCTCACTAGACAGCTTTCACCCTGAGGCAAGCAGTTTCCAGCTCTAAGTCTTGGGATGATTTTTTTTTTTAACCTTCCTACTGTGATTCATACATGTGCAGACAGGAAGGAATAGAGTTCACCATCATAATACTTGAATGATGACTGCTGCAGGGCAAGAGCCCAAGAGAGAAGGAAGGCAAGAGCCTAACTTGCTTGGGACCAGAGATTATTAGTCATCTTGTTGCCCCAAAATTGTATGGAGTTGAGAAATGAAAACAAAGAAAATTAAATTACTAAAATTATCTGTGCACATGTATCCTAGGGACAATAGAAACTGACCAGGCAACTTTCTTTTATCTTTTTGGCAGTACTGGGGTTTGAACACAGGGCCTCACGCTTGCTAGGCAGGCACTCTACTGCTTAAGCCATTCCTCCAGCCCTCTAAGCAACATTTGCTATGACTAACTAATTGTAGCTTTGTGGAGACAGAGGAGGCATGCTGGTCTGTAGTATGTTTAAAAACAGATACAGTGATGGTAGATCACAGGGGTACATGCTTCTCTGTATGACATTATTTTGTGTTTCAACGATTTAGAAGGCCTTTTATAATCAAGGTCAATTTCAGAAAGAGCAGTCCAAGTGAGACTTTCTGGCAGGATTCTTAAAGACCCTAAAGGTGAAGAAGTTGTGTGGTTCATCAGGACCCACTGAGACAGTGGCTGTCTGGGAAGCAAAGGTATTTCCTCTTCCACCTTTCATCACCATGTACAGTGATTATTGGTATGGTGGATGCTATGTGTTTGTGGTCAGGGAGGGAAGGAGAGAAGGAGAGAAGGAGAGAGAGAGAGAAAGAGAGAGAGAGAGAGAGAGAGAGAGAGAGAGAGAGAGAGAGAGAGAGAGAGTTCATAAAGTGGTTAGAAACAGAGAAAAGAGAAAAAAGAAACCACAAGAGGTAAACATGTCTTCTGTTTCCACCCTCCCCCCATATTAGAAAGGACTTAGCATTTGGACACAGCAAAGGCATATTGGAAATTCAGGGATCAAAGATACTACATTCAATGACTTGAGTTTTTCATTTTTAAGGCAAGAATCTGGTAACAACATCATCATTAGCAAGACTGGCTTAAAAGAAGGTATGAAAAGAATATCATATCACTGTCCTTTGTCAGTTGTCACAGCATGACTGCAGATGACAGCATACCTACTACTAGTGTGTACAGTTTTGACAGTCTATAACGTTAGTGTCTGTGTCCTTTTAAAGGGCCAGAAACACAGATGAATGAGGAATTTCACTATCACTAAGACACATAAATCAAAGATCAGACAACTCACATTTAAGTCAAATTTTTTGATCTGACTTCATGGACTTATGAAATAGGATAGTTGTGGAAGGCAAGGAAAATGCTTTCTTAAAAATGTATCCCAGGGCTGGAGGTATGGCTGAAGTGCTAGCGCACCTGCCTAGCAAGCCCAAAACCCAGTACCAAAAACCAAAACCAAAAACCAAAAAAATGGTATCTGGGTTGATTTCAAAGAATTGCATAAATGAGTACCTGGGGGATGTTAGAGCTTTATAGAACATATGTAGGAAGATACCTTAAATATCCACAAAGCTTGAGAGGTTAACAATAACACTGCCATTTCCAGTTATGAAAAACTGGTAATTGATATTAACTATTGATACTTGCCATCATTTTGGCCTCTTAGCATCTGAAACATCTCCCTATGTTGGGAGAATTTCCTAACTCCCAGATGTTAGGGGAAACATGGATGGGTGTTTCTCTTCCAAGATCTGTAATTTATTACGCAGGCATACATCACCTGGGCCCCACCATTCAATCTATCTGCATCAGCTGTTGACTTGGAGCTAGTAATGAACAGCAGAAAAAAGCAGCAATGGCATTCCCAGTGCAAATACAGTTACAACTAACCTAGAAATGACAGTGCTTGTTGGGAAGTAAAGCTGCGAGTGCAGAACCAGCAGCTGGGCTGTCAGATGGCAGTCGTGAGATCTGATTCCTTGCTAAGAGCCATCCTGTTTTTAAGTCACTTACCTGATTTTAAAAAGTAATGGCTGCTCAGTATACAAAATCTGTAGAATATGGGAAAGGTCAATGTGCTTCCCTGTATATGTATGAATGTGTGTATAGGCATACGTGCACACACACACATCTAGATTTCTTCATGAAATTGGGATTATACCACAAAGTTTTGTGCTTGCCCTTTAATATGACTTTGTTATATTTTTGATGTCTTTGACAGCGCAATTCTAAATAGTGCCATCCCTTAACTATTCTGTTATTGAGTATTACGATTAATACTTACTGTTAGACAGCTTTCAAAGACTCTTCTTGTATATAAAACTTTGGGGGTTGGTATAGTGCAGTGGTAGACCACTTGCAGTTTGATTCCCAGCAAAGCAAAACAAAAACAAATGAAAAACAACAACAAAAACACAATAATAACCCCAAGCCCAAAAATAACCCAATCACCAAAACAAACAAACAAACAAAAACTTTGGCTACATCTCTGATGACTGCTTTAGGATAAATTCCTAGAAGGTAGATCATTAGCAGTGACCTCTGAACTTTTAGGCTATTTACACAATTGTAAAATTGTTCTCCAGAGGTGGCTGACCCATTTTGAAACCTTGGTGGGTTTTGAATATATGGTATTGATACCGAACTTTTATAAAATTGGAATGCCAGACAGGAAAAGGTTTTTAAAAATGAACAAGGTACTTGTTATGAAAGAAAACTATTTGCCTGAAAAAGCTATGTGCTGTAGAGGCATTATCATATTTAATCTGTACACCGGCACTTTTCATTGGTAGTTTTAGCCTTCATAATATGGGAGGAAAATGGCTAAATATTTTGCCTGACGTCACACAACTCATAAAATGAGGAATCAAACCTAGGAATCAAGCTTTGTTTTCCAACTTCACAGTTCATTTTCTTTCCCTAATACCACTGTAACCCAAGAACTTAAATCAATTTTGAATTTTGAAATAAATTCTTAAAAGAGGTATGAAGTTGGAAGTAATAGACTTGAGGTGAAAGTGTTAAAAAGCACAGTGAGTCTTAGTTAAAAGAACTTACAAAGTGACAAAAACACAGTGTTAGCAGGGTGTTTTAACCAATGAGTATTTATTAAAAGCCAGTGGTGCACCAGGCACAGTTGTTGTCCAGTAGGCTAACACATACAAACGATGTAACCAATTCACTTATTAGCTTATCTGATTAAACAAAATACATTTCATAGAAATGATTATAAAATGCATTGCAGATAGAAACAGAATGTATTTTACATTACAGATCTTACAGTACCCTAAGTAATTATTAATAAAAACAGGCCAACCCATATGGTAAATAAAGTTAGCAAACCACCAGTTATTTCTTTATTTTAGTCAGCAAAAGAGAAAGACATACAATGGTCTTGCTGAAATGGGTTTCAACCTCCCATACAGTGACTGATCGTGTTTCAAAACTGTGAACACAGTCAGTGCTTATCATCCTGTATCAGATCACTATGACAACTTTTGGTTTAAAGATTAGTTTTGGTTTTAAAATCAGTTTCATTTAGTATTTCAGTCTCACGCCTCACAGATTCTTTACCTGAGGTGGGTGAAAATCACTCCAATTAAATATTAGTTACAGGAATGAAACAGAGCAGAACGTCAGTAGGATAGTCCAATCCACTTTGCCTAACATTCTTACCAAAACTGAACTGAGAAGATAAGATACATAGATGATTTAAATCAGAACATAGCAGTAGAAGGACAAAAAGAAAGAGATAAACAAAATGTGGGTGCTGTTTGTTTGAAGGAAGCCTGGTCATTTAGTGACACCCATTGCGTTTTGGGGAGACTCTTGGCCAATTCTTGAAAGGACCATATTGAGTTTGTTGGTATCTGACATATCCTTTAGTTTGAAGGCTAGTTACTGGGGGTCTAAGGAAGCAAACAGAAGGCGAGAAGGACCGAGAAGACATCGTGGAGTGTTTACTGACTATCTTGACACCAACCGCAGGCATTCCAGTGTCCTCCAGGCCCCTCCTGTGACCTCCCGAGATGGCTCTGTTTTCTTTAGGCAGCAGCAGCAAAATCTTCCTCAGAGAGACGGGTCAACTTTTATTGCACGAGAAGCAAAGTGACTCCCCTTCCCCCCTTCCTGAGTTGGGGACCTCCAAGTGCCATCACATCTGCACTCTCACCCGCTCCCGCCTCTGACCAGCAGGGGGCGCGCAACAGGAATGCCTCGGGAGCACCTTCATCAAGGGAAACTGAGGTATTAGGTTGGCCCCAGCGATCTGGTGGGTCAGTCGCCATTCTCAAGCAGCTTTTGTAAGTTGTTTTGTATCTTGAAATAAATAATAGAAGAGAAGTTTCTGTTATTAATTAGAATGGAGTATTTTAGGGGTATATTCACTATGGCCTGTAAAATGCTCAAGAACAATCTACCTTGTTCTACCTTGGATAAAAAGCTATGCACAGGGCCAGTGGAGTACTCAGGTGGAGGAATACCTGCCTAGCAACCCCAGTACTACCAAACAAACAAACAAACAGCAGAACAAACAAAAGCACTAAACATAGCTTACAGTTAAATAAGGCAAACACAAACATGCTTTTTCAAACCAGAACTCTGTTTGACAATCTTACTTTAAAATGAAAAAGAAGATAGAGCTGGAAAAAGGAGGGGCACAGAGATGAAAATATAAGAGAAGATGACAAATATAAATCTTGCATTTTCAAAGATGAAAACATAAGAGAAATGAGATGGAAGAAAAAGAACAAAGAATTGGCAATCACCAGGTGTGACCCCAAATGCTTTCAGAGACAATGGGACACTGGTCTTCACAGAACCCATTTGATGGTTTCAGTAGACAAGTGTCATGTCATAATGGGTAAGACTGAATTTTGCAAGGACGGGTCAAGTCAACCATGTCATATGTTTGGACCTGAAGACTATATAGCCCAGTGTTAGCCATTAAGAATAACTGAATTTTAAGGAATTCAGAGCAAGGCATTCTGAACAACCAAGACTGATGGTAGTAGGGAACATTGTGGATCTGAAATTTGATCCTTCCAAAACTCATGTTGAAACTTAATCTCCAAAGTCATATGTCAGTAGTATTTTGAGGTGGTACCTTTACCCATGATTGCATCAGTAGCTTTATAAGAAGAGGAAGAGATACCTAAAGTTAGCAAGCTTTCTCTGACTCACCATATGCTGCCTTGTGCTACTGGGCAACTCTGTAGAGTCTAAAATTTATGGTCTTGCTGCTATAATACTCCATTACTAATGAGGAAAAAAGCACTGCTTTCTTCCTCTCCCCTCATTCCTGCTTCATATCTTCTCTGCCTAACCTTCAGGTATAAGGAAGGATAAGTGGAAAGGCAGGAGTAGAAAGGTAGAAAAGGAAATAAAAAAAAAGACTATGTAAAACACACCTAACAAAGACCCCTAATATCCCGAAGTAAAACAAATGGCCAATAAATGTATGAGCTATTCAACTTCAGTAGTAATGAGAAAACATAAAGAAAAGCCAGGAGATTTGATTTCACAGACTTAGACAGGTAGTTAGTGGCATGAATGGACCAGAATGGTGTGAGTGGAAAGATAATTTGAGGGGACAATTGTGTAGACTTCACAGGATTTGCCAATGAATTAGTCAGTGGCAAGCGTAAAGGGGAAGGAAGTGGAAATTATTCTTAGATTTCCAATGAGGATGACTGAGTGAGCAGTGATAACTATGAACAGAAACAGGAAAGTCATTACCAGGGAAGATCTTGAAGCTTAGCCACGAAGGACAGCAGAAAGGAACTGCTGATTGTCATGTAATATTTCACCTCTAGGCCGTGCTGAGTTAAAAGCCTAATTGCTGAGGAGTGGGGGAAACCAGTCAAATAAACTGGGCTGTGTCCTGATAATTCTTTCTCATATTTAGATTTCTTTGAGCAATGTGTGTAACTTAGAACTTTTTAGAATGAATATGAACATGTCCCAAATCTACTTTTCACTGATTCTGCATTGGGACAAAGTGGCCACCATTGGTACTGTTGGAGGTCGGCAGCCCTGCGTCAGACACACCAGCTGCTGAGCTGCTGTGAACAAGTCCTTCTGTTTTTTGTTCCCTTATCATAGAATGTGGTGTCCTGGCCACCTGACAGGAAAGGGGGATGAAATGCAAGGAAACACAACAAGATTCTGTGTGCTTCCTATCCAAAGGATATCATTTGTTGGTCAGAATGAACAAAATTGAAAATGAATACCACTCCATTGTCTATGTCAGGACTAAAGACAGCTATTCTTTAAAAATTATATGTCTTTAATTCTCAGACCCTAATGTATTAGAAAGGAAAAAAAAATTGTAGCTAACTCACACCTTCTCTAGGTTGATTTGGAATTCAAAGAGAAGTATGCAAGTTTGCCCATAGATACAATGACTCAATACCAATTATCTGTCCTGGCTGGGTTTAGAAGAGCAGCTTGGAAACTCCTCTGTTCTAAATACTTAGCTGTTAAATCTAGATACTATTTAAGATAGGACAACAAAGATAATTTTGCTCATTTGCATTTCACATCTCTCCCCATAACGGCCCTATTCTGTAAAGCTACCAAATAAATACTGGACAATGTCATAGCAAACACTTGGTTTTTCACTCTGTACCTCTGCTTAAGGATTAGGGTGAAAAACCAAGACGTGAGCAAATGAGAAAGGACAGAAATGTTGAAAGGAGAAGAAAGTAAGAGCTGTTAATTGGCTTGACTCTGGCATATTTCATTTTCTCCTATTTAATTTTTCTACTGTCTTCTCAGAATGCCACAACCTAAGGACAGATTAGCCCTGGGACAATACCTTTAGAGGCAGTGGCACATCAGTGTCCTTATCCACAAGGCTGGATTCTAAGAGGCAGTACAGCCAAGGGATGATTTATTTATTTAGTGCTGGGTTTAAACCCAGGACCTCTCACATGCTAAGCACACAGTGTACTCCGGAGCTGTATTCCCAGCCCCTAACTTTGCAGTCAGACAGACCTGGTTCAAATTCCAGGTCCCTAGTTAACTTTTTACAACATGTGACCTTGAGCAAGGTAATTTAAAACTTTGCTCTCTCCTTATCAGATAAAAAAAGATGACACTTAACTCCTAGGTAGGAACAGGGATGGAGTGCAACATTTTATGTATAGCAAGAATCGGCCTGGGTGGAGTTGGGGCTGCAAATCTGGTCAGACCCTACAGTGACCCTCCACTAAGCCTGTCACTGTCACATACTATTGGCCCTACAGTACAGTACAGTTTCCAAGGAGGAAACACAAAGATAAGTCAATAAGACCATTATTTCTAGGAAAATGAGATTAAAACCTGTTTCTTTATGGAAATATTTATTCTTCTACATCTACTATGCAGCCTCTTGGCCAGGGTTGGTCATTTAGGTTATTTGCTGAAGACTGAAAGTGTTTATGTAACCCCTGGCTTTGGCAAATGACAGGAACTAGCATGACTGTCTCTGTACACAGAAAAGAAATAAGTCACCTTTTCTAATTTCACTATGTTAGCTGTAAGCTCTTGGCAGAGGACTTCCACATTTAATTGTACTTGTGATCCCAGGCCAGATGGTGCTGTCTGTCTGTAGGAAAAAAAAAAGAAAAACTGTTATGGGTGAGGGTGGCAAAGAATGAGGTGGAATGAACACACTTTAAATCTGTTCAACAGAAAACTGGGCCATAAAAGGAGAGAGTGAGAGTTCCGCCGGTAAGCATCAGAAGGGGACTAATTCTTAGAAGCTCAGCTGGAAAGCTCTTGAGCTATTTCTGCTCAAGTAGACAAGTTGTGCCTTAGCTTCCAAACAAAAATCAGTTATTCTCCAGCTTGTGGATTCTCAGACCACTTTGTTCAATCCTAATATTCTCTCTACCTACACCACAGCATACACCTGCAAAAATTACTGCTCTCCCCAGTCACACACAGATTTTTTAATGGAAATTTGTTTTTTTGTTTTTGTAATACTGGGGTTAATTGCCAGGCAGGCACTCTATTGCTTGAACCACACCTTCAACCTTTAATGGAAGAAGGAGTGATTTTTATACTAGAATTTTCAGAACATTTGGGAATGTCTTTATCTAGTTAACTTTCCACTGAAGTATGACTTTTTTTTTTAACTTCCACCCTTAAGACTTGTCATAATTGCTCTTGTCGTAGCATTTGTATTCAATATTTAGCATTAGACTAATTACAGCATGGTTCCTACTCTGGGGTCTTATACCAGCTAACAGCATAGGAAATTGAGAGGTACAATAAGAACATTTTCCTAGGGAGGTAGCTAAGCTGTTTATCAGATTTTCATGGAAAGTTTAGAACCATCTCCCATGTCCTGGTTGTGATTTGATTTTAACACTTATTTCTTGGGCGGGTGTGATTTGTTGAGTTTGTTTCACACAGGGTTTATTTTTGAGACAGAGGTACGTGGCAAATTTCTGATGATTATCTACATTTTAAGAAGTTGTTTATTATCTTAAAAACATGTCTATTTTCTAGTACTTAAAAATAATGTGCCCTTAATCCTTAACCCATAAAAATAAAACCTAAATCCTTGATTCTTTGGATGATGGATCTAAGGCCCAGAGAACTGACTTAACAGAAATTCTGAGCAGTACTGATGTTTTCACCCCTGGGATGGCAATCTGGGGGAACAGCAGCCCCCGGGTAGCCTACAATCTGCAGTTGCTAATGTGTTAAAGTTGGTAATGTGTGTGTCAAAGGGAAGCTACTTCCTCAAATGAAGAACCAGTTTACACATGTAGACTAGCAAACAGTGTAGCACTGATGGACCACTCTGGGAAAAGGGCCTGCGGAAGCTGAAGCCCAGACCAGTGCTGTATCAAGAGCCCTTCCCTTCATGGGTGTCACCTAACCTCATGTCCCATGTGGTCTTGGTAATTGCTCCTCTTGGATTAATGCTTTCAAGAGCAGAACGAACATTCCATTTGTTAGTGGAATTTCCCCCCAACACTAGCAAGTTGGTACACGCGGTATGTATTTTTCTAATTAAACCAACTCTTTATATGATAGTGAATGAATAGTCTCAATAATCTAGGATCACATTTTGAACAAAGAGTAAGGGTAGAGTATGAATCTACTCTAAACTATTAGGCATCTGTATTTGATTGGTTCAAATGTATATTTATGATTCAAAAACAACCTGTATGTCAGCATACATGAACACCAAGAAGGCCTTTTGACAACTTAGGAAGAAAGTTCCTAGAGATCCCAGTTCTACTGCAATAGAAACTCTGGGATGGGTACTGCAATCTGTTTTAATAAGTCCTCTAGACGGTTCTGATCCACAGTAAAGCATGAGAGCCTATAGTAGACTGGGAAACTCATGGTCTTTGTGGCTATATAGACCTGCATCTGAACTTACAAACCATAAGCCAATTATTTCTCTGAGTCTCGGTTTCTTCTTCTGTAAAATGGGAATAGCAGCAATCTTACAAGGTGAAAATATAATGAGGGAAAATTGCTTGATTTGTACATGTATGAATCCATTGTAATAGAGATGCTAGCATATGGTAGATACTCTGTAAAGGAATACAGCTTCGTTTAAAACTTTAGCTAAAAGTACGGTTTCTAAGATGAAATAATGATTTTTATTTTAGTTTTCATGCAATGTGTCAAAAATCCTCATTTACATTGGTTTAGGGAAAGAATGCTATGTCTGAATGCATTTAATCAGGTCAAGTATGTTGAAAAGTGACAGATAACAAATCTTCACAAGACATATTAAACTAATTAGTGTCAGATGAACATTGATAGTGGTCAAGTTTTGTAAATAAATTATTAATACAAAGAGTGGTGGATGATGAAATGTGCCAAGTTACTTCAACTGCTTCCTTTCTATGACTCACAGCTATTTTACAAAGACAAACTTGTGCAGTTTAATAAATAGGCCAAGGTCACAGTCAGGTCTTAGGATATTAGAACAAGACAATGGTGACACTATGTCAATTCAGGAATTTTCAGGGCTAGGTGATTCATCTTTAGGCCCCTCTGACCTCTTTACGTTCTACTTACACACTTAACAGAATGTCTCACACAGCATATATTCTCAATTAATACTTGCTAAGAAGGCTGCTGAACCTGGGACAGTTATTAGATCAGTCTGAAGGAACTGGCTTACTCAGTACTGTGGGTATCCACAATGGAGGTCATCAACCCCAGCCTCTCCTCCAGAGTATTAATTCTGTATCTCATGTAGAAGGTTGAGATGATAAGTGCACAGACTCTGGAAACAGATAAAGAGAAATTTCCGATAGGTTAGTGGCCAGGATTTAATGTTTGAAGAATGATACTCAGAGCTGATGTCCTATGCTGGAAGTGTTTTTCAAAATAACTAGGCAAAAGAGACTTTAAAAAAGTCCTTTTAAAAATAGGCTAATGGTTGTCATAAAACTTCACAGCCAGAAGGAGGCTAAAAGTCCTATAGCCTAAGTTCCCCGATTTTCAAACAATGGCCACTTTTACAGGATTGTTTAAGGCCAGAACCAAGGTGGATTACCTAGCCAGTGCCCCCCCTCTTTGAGGGTACTGGCTCCCTCTGCTGGCAGAGCCTAGGTAGAGAGTGTCTTACAAATTCCCTGCTTTAGTTGGATACCGGACTGGGCATATCCTCCTTGGTTATGAGGAACACCGTAGAACTGGGCTATTTTCAGAAGAGCAACTAGTTACAGGCTGAAAGCTGATGAGGCAATTAGAAAAGCTAGTGTCTAAATTTTCAGTTAAGGGAGATGACATTTTAAAGATGTTTTTGTTTCCATTCAGACAATGTTGAACAGATGGAAAAATAAAAAACAACAACAAAGATGTTTTGTAATTTCAGTATAATCATTGTGAAAAACATGATCTAAGCCTAAGGGGGAAAATGCCAAAGAAGGAGACAGAAGACATCAAAGAAAATATGTGGGTCACATCAGAGACAACTGAGATTTACAATGGTTCTTGGCAACCTGAGGACATTATTCATTAGAGAACTAATCATTTGCTGATAAATACATTTACTTACACAACTGCATAGAACATAAGAATATGGTGGAGAGTTGGACATTTCTTAGACTTGTCTTTATGCAAGATTCCAATAGTTTCTGACTGACCTATTAGGTGGAAACAAACAAATAAAACAACAACAACAAAACAAGTTTCATACTATGCACACATCCTTTACCTAGCAATATCCCAGTGGGGAAGAGGTACTTGAGACAGGCAATCATTCCCAGGTGAAAGAAATCAAAGAAATTAACCAAGTTGTCATTTTAACCAAGATTTTAGTTCTTTCCAACACATTTCATTCAATACACATTCACTGATAGCATTCGCTGGTGTCACACACTGTGTTGGAGTCATTGGAAAACAATTCTGTGTGTGACACCAGAGAACTGCTCTTATGCCAATATAATTGGTAACTAATTATTAGAACAATTAGTGAGTAATTGGAGTCTTACCAACAAATTGTAGATCATAATCTTGGTGTATTCAGAAAAATGAGGTACCTCCATGAAGGAGAGTTCACCCTTGTATCCCCTTAGTAAAGCACTGAACTGGACACTATTTGTTGAGTGAATAAGTGAGAATTAATATACAAAGACCTACCATAGGAAGGAAGGGGGAATCTAGAAGCAGAAAGTGAAACATTGGGATAACTTAAAAGTTACAAAAGTTACTTGAGAAAACTTCCAAACTTTGTTCCTTACCATGGGCAGGGAGGCTCTTGGTTTTTCCATCAGGCGCTCTGCTCAAATGGGCATCCGCCCGAGGTGGTTTTGCTTCCCCCTTGGTGACATTCAGAACTGTTTGAGATTCTGTCACATGGAAGTCTACTGAGCCAAAAAGAAGCAGTGTCAGTTTGCATTTAAAAACACAGAATGAACCACAAGCAAATCAATCCCTAATATGCCCAGTGGTCAAGTGTATAAACGGATCTGCTCACAAGTGTGGTGAGGTGGCTGGGGATGGATGTCCAATGCTCCATCAAATAACTAATAAAAAGACATAAGGACAGTCTGTTGTCACCCACTGATTCACAAGGCTGATTCAGCTATAGCGACTAATACTATTACTGAAATATAATTTCTCTCAACCAACATGTTTTTATCATTATTATTATTACTTATTATTATTATTATTTTGGTTTCTTGCGACAGGTTCTCATTATGCATCCAGGCTGTCCTGGAACTTGCTATGTAACCTAGACTGGCTTTGAACTTGTGCTTCTCCTGCCTCAGCATCCTGACTGCTGGGATTACAGCTATGTACCACCATGCCCAGCTCATTATGTCTATTTAAGGGACATTTGCTAACTGCCTACAAAAGGAAATGGATTTTTGCCACATAGACAATTTCTTTTCCTTGGAAGTTTCAAATTACCCTTTTTCCAGATTCCCTTTACAACTGTTAGCTAGGAAGAAAAGGTGGGTTTTTGTTTTGTTCTTAAGCGGGTGGGGTGAAGGTGTTTTGTGGGGAAAACACAAAGATTTCCCTGACCTCGAGAGTTCTCCGATTCAGGAGTGTGAGAACCAGAACTGCTGTATCCTTCCATGTCTTGTATTCTGTCTTGTATTCTGTCTCCATCCAGATCTGAGAATTCATCATTGAAATCCTGAAGGAAGACAAAGAAATAAAGAGACGCCACATCTTTCTTAAAACAGGCAGGCCTTTGTAACCCCTGGCACTCTTACTTAGGCCTGGCTCATAAATACAAAAAGGAAGGATTACTCCACCCTACTGGGATTTTTCAAGCCGGTCAGAGTATCTGGTTACTGAAACGGATTCTTCTGGGTGGTTAGAATTCTATCAACAAACAGTGGCTAACTTGTCTGAAACAACAAATGTCTAGAAAAAACACTGGAATGCAGAAGATTGAAAAACTCCCAGTGGGAAGCTTGACAAGTCACACTAACACTTTGTAATAAGAAAAGCTGACTGCTGTAGACACATATGAGAGAAAAAAAAAATGGACAGAAAGCTCCAAATCCAAGTTTCAATATGTCAACAAAGAGAATGATATCGCTAAGTTAGAGTTTACAAAAAGGTACTGGACACAGAAAAGGGAAACTGGCTTTAGCAAATTAGACCATGAGAGAAAGTTGTAGCTTTTAATTTCCTTAGCTAAATCAGAATGGGTCAGGTATGTTGTATTTAACGTATAGAAAGTCTACAGAGAAGGGATGGAGCAGAGATGTTTTACTTTGTATCTCACCAGCTTCTCTAAGTGCATGAGAACTAAAGTGACGGGGTGTGCTGAGAAAAATGTCCTGACAAAGGGACAATACGCAGAACTTGTAACAATTTAGTTAGTTGCCAAATGAAGAAGAGACCTATCTTGTAAGCAGACAGCCAACCTTCCACCTTGAACTTACTGTCTTTTGGACATCTCAACATGCATTTTAATTTCAGGGAAGAATGTAGAGGGAAAGGAAAATTGAAAAACTGAAATTCTTCTATTTAATAATGATGTATCAAATGCCTACCATGTATCAGGCAATATGCAAACCTCCTTACATACACCGCTGCAGCTAGTGCAGAGCACAGCGTGAGGCTGGCATGTTAGTGGATGATGGAACTGAGTGAGGGCAGGGTCAGAGCTTGCCTGGTGACATAACACAGCATAGGGTGGGGACATTTAGAAAGCCAGGTCTGTGGGATTCCTTCATTGTATTTTGTACTGCTTCCTAGTACTTTTCGTTGAGTGCAATTCAGTAGCCTGTAGAATATTCAGTGCTGTACAGTCACCAACAACCTCTTATTCCATAACATTCCCACGACCCCCAAAAGAACCCATAAGAAGTCATTCCCAATTTCTCCCGTAGCCACTCTTGGGAACCACTATTTTCCTGTCTGTGCCTGAGGGTTAACCTGTTTGAACATCTCCTAGACACATGGTCCCTGACTTACCATTTCTTGATTTTATGATAGTGGGAAAGTGATACATATTTCATAGAAACAGTATGTTAGATGTAGAAGTTTGATCTTTTCCTGGGCTAGTGATATGCCCCACACTAATACTGTCCTGTGATGCCCAATAGCTGCTAAGAAGAACAGCTCCTGGCCAGTCACATGATCTCCAGAGGACACAGCTCTGTGCTCTGGCCCAGTGGAGCAGCATGTGCTCTGTGGTGCTCCATGTGGCTAAGTTATGATGTTCAGTAGGTTAGGTGTGCTAAATGCATTTTTAATTTATGACATTTTCAATTTACGATAGGTTTGTTAGGATGGAAGCTCATGATAAGTAGAGGAGCATCTGTAAATGGAATCACAGATGGCCTTTTGTGTCTGGCTTTTTTCACTTAGCATGTGCTAAGTGTTGAAGGTCCAGCCATGTGGTAGCATGTATCAGCACTTCATTTCCTTTTTATGGCTGATAACATTCCATTGTATGTATGTCAAAAATATATTAGATTAAAAAAAAAAAATCCATTCAGTAGGTAAAGGACATTATGGTTTCCCTCCATGTTTTAGCTGTTACGAATAATGAACATTCTTCTACATGTTTTTCTGTGAGCATTTTTTTTTTTCTTTGAGACAGGGTCTCACCATGTAGCTCAGGTTGGCGTCCAACTCTTGACCCTCCTGCCTCAGCCTTCCTGAATACCAGGATTATAGGTGTGCACCACTGTACCTGGCTGTTTGAACATGTATTGAATCGCACTTTTTTAGAACTCAAAAGAAGATTTGCAGATGTTGAAACTATGGGCCCATACTGCTTCACGTTATATTCCATTATAGGTACTTTTTTTTTTTTTTTTTAAATAAACAGGAGGCACTTCTCACTGGAGATTTACTCTACAGCCAACAAAGTCTAAGGGAATCAAACAATCTCTACCTGTTGCCTGGTTTCCTTTCTTTCAGTTATTTCTGAGTTTGTTGCATGTTCTTTACTACAGTTGAAGAATTGGTTTTTATTTTTTCCTGGTTTCTGATAGTGTATACTGGTACAGTGTCTTGGACATAAACGGTATTTGTGGGATGATTCATTCCCTACCTAAAATAGATTTGTGAATCTATTTAAACAATATTGATGGTTGGGGATATAGCTCAGTGGATAGCACTTGCCTAGCATGTGTGAGGCCCTGGGGTCCACCCTCAGCCCTCCAAAAAAAGAAAAAACTGACAAGTAAACAAAGCAGACCTTCCAGTGCAGTCTTATCAACACAGCCTACTCTTGTGCTTGTTTTCTTCTGTAGAACAACCTCTAACTAGTAGAAAAAAGTTTATGGCCCTCTATGTTTCCCTATTCTTCCAGAGAGAATATGTTCTGTTTCTTCACCTGTGTCCTAAGTTCATGGGGTAAGCACTGTGAGGTTGTGGCATGTAGCTCTTCATTTTGCATTTAGATCATGTGTAGCAACTTACCAGAGGCAAAGACGAAGGGCGGTCTGCCCGGAAACTGTTTTCAGGAGAAGATGGATTGGGACTGTTACCAACACTTGTATTCTGAAATTATTGGAACAAAATGAAAAACCGGATCAACTATAAAACTATCAGAAATACAGAAGAAAGACAGTTAGGGAGACTCAGTTGTTATACTTACTTCTAAGTGTCCACACACAGACTTTAGCAATTTGTATGTTGAATCTCTGGACAGTAAGGAAACAAATATGTACTGAAAAATAAAACAGGGTAATTATTAATAGGTACTACCTGATGAGATGCAAGAGTTCAAAGTTGAAAAAAGTATCTCTACTTAGTTTTTATATTTTCAAACCGTTCTCTGATCTATATTCTTATTCCTCTTACACGAACATTCAATTTTTATTGCATTTCTGGAATAAAGCAAGTATATTTCCTGACAATAGCAACAAAATTCCCAAACTCAATTTAATAGAAATAAAGAATGTAGGTCAAAATGAAGGCTCTAAAAGTCACACAGGTACCCCAAAGAAGTGCAGACAGGAAAAATCCCAGGCATTAAGAAAAGGCTAGTGATATTTGCTAGACCTTTTTCAAGTCTTCCCCCTCCTGATTTGTTTTTATTTGATAGTGTTTAACAATCCCTGTGGATCTGCTTTCTCTGCTCCGACCTAGATTTCCACTGAAAACTTCCCAGTGGCTCTCATAGGCTAGTTCTTTCTCATGCCAGGTCCAGATTCTCCCTTGTACAAATACGGAGATTTTTCTCGTAGATGCTTGTAAGTGAGCTATGGGAAAAGAGTAAAACTAAAGCTAGACAAAATAATGTGGAGACTAATGACATATGGAATATTTTTACCATAAATGGTATTCTCAGAAAATATAAAGACCTGACCCTTTCTCCATCTATGTGAGCCCTAGAATCTTTTCAGAACTCCTTTCCATGAGTTTGTGATGATCCCTCTCATTTACCAAAAGAGAACTTGATATACTTTCTAAGTAAGTATTGACTATATTGCAAATAGTTAACGTTGTGGGTTCTGGCATTAGCAGATCAATTTGCAAATTCTGGTTCTGACACTAAGTGAGTACAGGAGGAAAACTGTTTACCAATACTTTCCTTATAGGTTGGTAGTATGGAACAAATGAGAAAAAAAATTAAAGAGAGCACTTGATGTACTTCATATCTGCTAGCTATTAGTATTTTTAAAAATCTCAAAATCAATATTTTAACTTATTTTTTAGCTTATCAAATAGCCTCTTTGATCTTTCCATCTCCCTTCATTGCTCATAAGTTATCTAGTATGATTAGAAACTGAGTAGAGCTTTTATGCTTTCATAAAATTAGCAGGTAAATGATTAAAAAATGATTTCAAGTGAAAAATGAGTAACTAAATTCCTCCATTCCCTCTCTCTTGTCAAGCTGAAATAAATGCCATTTTCAATGGAAATATTTCTGGCTACATATGTCTAGGGTAGCCCAATTCTCAAGAGTAGCTCTGCAATTTCTGGGAAGAAGAGAGGCTGTTCAGGGACTTGGTAGCAAAGAAGATTCTGGAACCAACCCCAAAGCTGCCCTTGCAGAGCAGGCACAAGTCTCAAGGTGCGGTGTGGTTCTGGGGAAGAACCTGCTAATGTTATGGGGAGGCAGCCACTCCACCCCAAGATGCCTCAGTATCACCCTGCCTCACCCTGTCAGCAGTGTGGCTGTTGTTCTTGCTTTTTTTAAAGGAATATTAAAGGAGTTTAAATAATATTAAGAAGATATATATCAGTTTATCCTGACTGAACAGATGTTAGGGAAATGAAAGTTAGGAAAGAATTTTATTTTTTTGACCTGGGTTAGGCAAATATAATTAAGTCAGCAGGAAATTCAAAATTGGCAACAATTATATTAGAATAAATCATCTTGTGAAGGGAATGCCTCTAGGGTTTTAAAGAATATCTCCTGCTTCATTCATCACAGCAGATGGTATTTATGGTTCAGGGTTCTGGTCCTTGGCAAGGGACCCTGAAGCAACCAAGCCCAAAGCAGGAGGACAAAGGAAAAGTGCTTTTGCTCTACCAGGTACTCACCCTGTCTGTGACTGTCGCTATGATCAGGGCATTTGGCACCAGAAGCGCAGTTTTGGTTTTCTTTATTAAGGTTACTGAGAAAGCTGGAATAGTGATCTGAAACAGAACAGCCAAGTTAATACTAGCTTAGACTTCACAGAACAGTACTTTAAATCTACCCATTAAAAAGATAAACAAAGCAATCAACATCAGCATTAAGTTCTCTACCCTTCTTGAAGAAAAGTGAACTTAAAGAGTAGTATGAACACTAGGCATGGTGGCTCACACCTGCAATCCCAGCACTTGGGAGGCAGAGGCCAGAGGATCTTGAGTTCAAGGTTGGCTTGTGGACCATAGCAAGTTCAAGGCCAGTGATACACAGCCAGACCCAGTCAAAAAGAAAGAAATAAACAAAAGAAGAGAAAGAAAGAAAAAGAGTAGCCTGAAAGATGTCACTGAGCTAGTCAAACTGGTGTTTATCAAGTCAGAGAAAATTTTACATTCATTTTCTTTCTTTCCCTCTCTCTTTTTTTGACATTACTGGGGTTTGAATTCAGGGCCTCACACTTGCTAGGCAGGTGCTCTTTACATTCATTTTCAGTAATTAGAGCCCAAGTCTATACAGAAGTTTCAAACTTGTAGTCATTCACTTAGGCTAACCTTCACCTGCCCCTCTCTCCTCTGTGCTATAAAAAGCACTTGACGCAGTACAGCCACCACTAGACAGTCTTGGACCTGACTTCAGTTCTGTTACTATCTACATGACTTGCTCAACCTACAAGCTATCCATTGTAGACCTCTGTTTTGTGATATGTAAGTTAGAGACAGTCTTGCCTACTTCGCAGAATTTTCTGTAGATTAAATGTGGCAATCATTCAATGCTAAATAAAAATTCCGTTCATTTCCTTATTAGTCTATGAAATTAGGATGTGTGAAATAAAAGAACTCTAAATTCATTTCTGGCTCATCTAAAAAATAATAACGGTAACTGTAGAAGCCACCATTATTACCAGATGAGAATGTCATTTAATTCTGATGATTCTATAAGGTCAAAATTATAAGATATAATGAAAGTTATTATGATTTGCTAGAGGTCCTATACAAATTAGAAGTTACAAAATTGAAATTTGAACCAATCTGTTCCAAACTGTGGATTCTTTCCAATATAATGTGTATAAGAATGTATCAGATGGCACAAAGAATAGCAGATATTTCTGATATTTTGTTACATTCTTCTAGCCAGGTTTGGTTTTGAATGAAAATAATCATATCACTCTGATCCTTGAAAATAGTCAGGCATAGGCATGGTGAAAAGAAAATGATGTGACTCCCTCATAGGTCCACATGTGCACTCGAACATCTAGTTTGTAAAAATTCTGTATTCTGATAGAGATTAGCAAGGTGACTGGGAAGAGGAGAGCCTTGTGTTCGTACTGGCGGCTTGAAGGAAAGAGAATAAGCTTTTAATCTTGAATACTCAAATTCACATTTGGGTTTATGAAATGTGATCGTTTACTGCCCCACCACGTTCTAGACAGTAAGAATGAGGAACCAATTCAAATTAGATATTTTCTAAAAACTCTTTTGCCAAACTTTACCCACAAACATTTGCAAGGGTAGGATATAAATCTCAAGCTGAAAGTTGAGATAACTAGAAAACAAGAATTTAAGACCTACTAGATAAATGATGACATCAAAATGGTCCAATTTTATTTCTGAGCAATAACATAAACACATAATGACAAGGAACCTTAAATTTAGATTTATCTAAGGCACAAATCACTCTTAAGTAGTTTCAATCATTTGCTTCATGAGTTTAAAATCACAACTAGCTAATATTTCCAAAATGAAGATGAAATTATTTTTCAGTGCTACTAGGTGGAATCTGATTCATGCATGTCAATTTTACCAGCCTCTGAAATTACCACGGCTGATTACAACATCCCGAGTAAATTAAGGTTACACTTAATTAGTATTTTTCCAGAGTGGGGTGCTTAGAAAGGTCCCTCTTACAGAGCAAATTGTTCAGGTGCCTTCTATTTGTATTGGATCATGTTGGACTGTGAGGAAAGTCTGACTTCTCTGAAACCCAAATCTCTTTTGATACCATCTTTAGAGGGAAGAAACACACGTCATTAATGTGGTTCTTATTCCCACGCTCTGCTAATTTTAAATCTGCCTCCAGAGCACATGCAAAAGAAATCTCAGTGTGCCCATGTCTAAAAAAACCAGGGTCACTGCTTTTAGCTTGTTTTGGTCACTTCTCAGTTAAGTAGAGGGTTTTTTTAAACCATTGCTAGAATCATATTAGCTTGAAACTGCACCTACTGCCTTTATTATTAATTCCTCTGACACTTAAGAATAATTCTTTGTTCATGAATGTCTTCAATCCCTGTTGCTCTGCTCAGAGATGTTGGCTCTCTCTCAATTCCTGAGACCTATTTTTATCACACTGAGAAGTACTAAATAGCTCCCTTTACTACTCTACGAACAAGTTCTTGTAAATCCAAAAATCTAGAGGGATAGTGGACTACTGTTAATATTACTTTGCATTATACTGATTGAGAATCAAAATGTTTACCTAAACCTAACTCTACAAATTAACAACACAAAACAACATGCTTTACTTAACATATACCATGCTAATCTATACACCTAACACCAACAAATTAAAGAATTTCCATTGTATTTGTTGAGTGGTCTTTATTCGATTGCCAGTGATTTTAGGGAGAATATGGAAATGCAGAACACATCTACTTAAAACAAATCAGCTACTCATGAGTACAAAACCTGCTTACTCATAATTATCAGTAGAATAACAGAAAACTTATTGAGGTCACTCAAACCCAAGGTGTTTCTCTGACTTCTGGCAGCCTAACTGAACTATGACGTGACACAATGGTTTAAAGGCCAGGACTATCTTTTTCCTTCTCATGTGATCATTTCAGAAGGCAGTGGCTTGGGCAAACTGTGATTTCCCTCAGCTATTCCCCTTTATACTCAGGGTGTCATGAACCCAGCTCCCCCACGTCTGTGTTGAAAGAGAATGGAGGTGTGGTAGCATCAGGGTCAGCACATACCTGGGGTTATGGACATGAGACTTGCCCAAGTAGGGCTGTAAGCACTCCATCTCCTGCTCGTTCGTGCTGTGAGGGTAGGTAGCTAACTTACAGATCTGTTCTCTTAGTCTTTTCTGATGGTAACTGGTACGAATTTGGTATAAAACGGATATTTCTTTTTAAAAAGTGTTTTTGTTTTAATGAATGTCTGAAACAAATTACTGCACTTTCCTTATAGCAGCAACTTTAGTGTTTCTAGTGACACGTGGGTAAAAGAGACATAGGGTGTGGAGTGGGAGAGATATAACGTATACACGTATAAAGGTACGAGAGTGTTATTTAGGGAAGGAAGGAAGTTAGTGCCATCTGAAAGCGTTCAGAACTGTACTATTTAGAACCGCAACAAAAGGAACTTGGTATAAAGGCATAATGATGATATACATATTTACAAATATAGATAAATTTAAAATAAAATAATTGATAACATAGTGAGAAACACAGCGTTAGCTTTCTCTTCTAATTTTATTTTTATGGTCGGGGGAGTGAACCCGAGGCCCTGTGCATACTAGACACCCGCTCTACTACTTAAGCCATGCCCCCAGCAGCTAGCCTTAGCTTCAAACACTGTACCAACCTTAGTGTCTTTTCCAAAGACCTTGGAATGAAAGCAAATCCAGTTTTCTGATACAAAGAGCTTTCCTTGGTATAGTATTTCTTTCTGTAAGGCACAGGTAAAGCCTGAGAGAAAACAGATGGGTATAATAGCATCATTTAGAATTTCATTAAAACGTTATAAAAAAATTGTGCACATACTTTGGTGACTTTAGGATGGACAGAGAAATAATATACTCCTACTCTAAAGTTCTATCCCCTCTTTTTCTTTCTTTTTCTTTTTTTTATGAGACAGGGTCTTACTACACAGTCCACTCTGGCCTCTAACTTGCTATGTAACCCAGGCTGGCCTCAAACTTGTGATCCTCTTGCCTCAGCCTCTCAAGTGATGGGAATATAGGTGCACACTACTGTGCTGTGCTCTTCAGTCATCTCTAGTGGAATAAAGTTGCAATGACTGGAGTTTTTAAAATTCAGTCTTACAGACTTTCGCATAAGGATCATATGGGAAGGCAAATCTACCTCTGTGCATGGAGAAACCAAGAATGCTGCTTCAGAAACCTCCTCTATTTAGCATGGTTGCCATCCTTTTGGTAATATGAGTGTTCCCGGTCTTCTCTTCCCAGGATCCTTACTAAAGATGCACTCATGAGATAGATGGTCCTACTGGGGAAGTACATGACTACACCTTCTTCCTGGAGATCATGGCAAGAACCCAGCATCTTGCCTTAACATTTGTACAATGAGAGAGGCTAGAACTGAACCTTGGGCTACATGAGCCACATGCTCAGGGGTCATGCTGGGAAGCTGTTTGGGTGTGACCACCACGCCCTGCATAGCTCAGGTATTAGCACATCTGTCCACTCAGACTTGTGTTCCCTTTAGCCTCTTTTGGCCCAGGCTTGTTATCCTAATTCTCAGGATGAGTCAATCGCAAGCACTTCAGCAATATATACAAAAGGCAAGGAGAGCACTGTGGGACAATTCCAGATGATTGCATATCAGAAGAAGAGTGACAGCTTCTCATTCTTCTCTGGTATCTTTCAAGGTGCTGGTGGAAAGTGACTACAGCTGGCACTATTGTTACACCACCATGGCCTAGTCCCCTTCCTGACTCAGTCTAGAACGTGCTTCCTTCCCCCAAACTACGCAGCCACTTTTCAAACACGTATCCTGAAAAGCCAAGCAGGTAAAAGAGAATGATGGAAGGGTGAATTCAACTATGATATTTACTGGCACTTTTGTAGATGTCACAATGTATCCCCCAGTACAACAATAATATGGTAATACAAAGTCAAGCAGGTTAGAACTTACTTTGTCTCAGTGGCTCTTCAGTTGGGACATCAAGAAACAACTTGTGAAAGTGCATGTTGGCCTTGAACTGCAAGGAGAATAAAGCACAGGCATCATGGCGCTCTTTTTTGGGAAACATAGCAAACTTTAAACCAGTCTGAATAAAATAACAAATTTTCCTTCCCTTTAGGAATTCATCCTCTCTGATCTACTAAGTCTCCATTATAACCCCTCAGAGGAACACAGAGGACACAGGCACAGAGGTTCATTTCCAATGTGATAAGTGACTCTCTGGGGTGACATAGCACTGGTCAGCTGAGGCACTGGGGCAGGACAAGGATGCTCCTGGTAAGAAATGAGATGAGACTCCAAAGAATCTTACCAGGGAAGGTAGTGGATTCTTACTTGTAAAGACACAAGTTGAGTACCCTCAAAGAGTACAGGACTCAAAAGCTCTGTACTCAGATAAACCTGAACTTGTCTTGGCTCTACTCTTCCTTGGTGTGTGATCAGGGCCTAGTCACTTAATTTCCTGGGCCTCAGTTTTCTCTTCTGTGCCAGAGGCCAAAATCGCTACCTGTCTTTGAGGGAGGCCGTAGCTTACGTGGAGTAACACTGCCCAAGGCCACAAGCGGTGACTGTTATTGTGTTGTGGTGAAGGCTTTTCCTTAGCAGGAGGACAGAGGCAGACTTAACTCTTCAGGGCAGTTTAAGGCCCAAGAGTGTGAAATGCAGCAAGTGCTCCATTTTCAAGACATCTACCTCACAATCGTGATGATGGAGCAGTTTGTACAATGCTTTCACACACATCACCCTCAATATAACGCTGGGAACCTGGTGTCCTCATTCCGGGGGTTAGGACAGGTGTCTCAGGAGTACTGAGCTACTTCGGAGCAGAGCGGGGTCTAACCCTTGCAGGGTCACCCTGCCTCACAGGATGCTTTCAAAGGAAAAGCCTGATAAGGAGAAAGAGAGATTCACACAAGTAGACCCTTGATGGTCTCAAGGGCAAAACCGACCCAATTGCTGTAAAAAAAGAAAAAGCTCCAGAACAGGTCACCGACATAATATAGGGTCCCTATAACGCTGCTGCCTCATAAACATCTTTATAAGCACATTAACTCACAGAGCTTCCTAGGGGTATGCTTTGCATTAGCGCTCAGAAATTCCTTTCTAAGGTGATTCTATTTCTGGCTTTCCATTTTAGTAGATGTGTAAATTTGCACAAATCTTCAACCCTGCATCAGGTGATGAAAGCCAGATGTTGGGTGGGGTAGGGGTGGGGGGGCACTTCAGTGAAATTTTGTTTTTCATGGCTACAGGGAGCACTGGTTGCACACGCCTGAAATCCCAGCACTAGGGAGGCTGAGGCAGGAGGATCTCCAATTTGAGGTCAGCCTAGGCTACAAAAGGGAAATACCATCTGAAATTAAAGTTAAAACAACAACAAAAAAAGGCTGGGGATGCCTAGCATGTGCGTGTGAGACCCTGGGTTCAACCCCAGTACCACAAGAAAGAAAGAAAAAAAAAAAGACAGGAAAAGAAAAGACAGAAGGAAAGAAAGAAAGAGAAAAAGAAAGAAAAAATCCTAGGCAATAGACTCTTCAAAAAATGTCAAAAACAAAGACAGTGGGACTGATCTAAATTAAAAGTGACATAGAAATAAAAGTTGTACCTGCCTCTTGATTGGCTCCTAGAAAGGAAGTGGGGGAGAGAGAGAGAGAGAGGGAGAGAGAGAGAGAGAGAGAGAAAGAATGAAAGAAGCCTTTATAAAAGACATCCTTGACTAGGACAACTGTGGAAATTCACAATTATTTGATACTTAGTAAAATATCTTATATGTACCTTGTTTATTTTAGTTTTTACTAGGCCCATATTCAGGTATTTAGGGATGACATATCAAAAAAAGAAACAAGGCCTAAAATTACAGCTAATAAGGAGGTGGAGATTGGGGGATCACAGTTCAAGGCCAGCTCAGGCAGAAAAGTTAGTGAAACCCCATCTCAACAAATAAGCCAAGTGTGGTGGTACTAGCCTGTGGTCCCAGCTATGTGGGAGGCCGTAGGCAGATGGATCAAGGTCCAGGCCTGTCTGGGCAAAATGTGAGACCCTTTCCGAGAAAATAACCTAAAAGCAAAAAGGGCTGGAGGGCTGGCTCAAATGGTAGAGCAACTTCCTAGCAAGCACCCTGCACTCAAACTCCTGTACAGCCAAAAAAAAAAAAAAAAAAAAAAACACTGGGGCTAGAGGTGTTGCTTAGTGGTATGTCTTTAGCATTTGGGAGGCCCTGGGTTCAATCCTAAAACAAAAAACGCAACAAAAAATAAAGCCAGAACTCTCCAAACTCTCCTGACCCCAGTAAACATGTCACACCGTGACACAGGACTGGACTTTGTTACCTATCTGGGAATATGATAGAGCAGAACTGAAATTGCTCCTCTCTGTGCAGTTGGTGTCTTATTTGACTGTTTAACTTTATGACATGAATGTCACACCTCCCCTTGTCCTGCGATTCAGAACAGCACTGGATCATGTGCTGGTCTCTGCTTTCTGGGTTCCTATCAGAGTTTGAGACCACAGCCTGGCACTCACTACCTCTCCATATGCACTGAAGGGTCAGCTGTGGAATTTAAGATCGATGAAAAATTGACTAGAAGAGTGCCACGACCTGTTCTATGCTGCTAAATTCTCTGAACTCTATGCCTATGTTAGGCCTGATCAGCAGAAAGCTTCGTCCTTGGATTTTTTTCTCCATTGGCTCATATTCTTCTGTCACCTTTGCAGACAGTATACATTCCAGTCCCCAATTACCTGGCTGGAAGATGAAGACTTTTTCCTTTCAGTCTTAGAGTCATTTTTACTTTCTGTCTTACACTCATTTTTATCACCTGGTATTGTGGCACCATCAAAACTGGATTTTGACCTAGGGAAATAAAACCCGGGGAGATTAAAAGATGAATTGCCATTCATCACTTTATTATAATAAATCTTGATTATTATACCATGTCACGAGAAAAACCTAGCATTTATTTTTCTCTTTTAGATATTGATAATCACTTATGATGCTCTGAAGGCATTTACACAGCATGTATCTCGGCAGGCTGTCTCCATCAACTATAGAAACGGTAACTTATAAAAGGGGAAATAGCAATTGAGATGTGAAAAAATTATATCATTTTGAAAATGTTTTAATCAATATTTAAGAGGAGGAGCTAAGGCAAATTACTAAATAAAATTACAGCTGTAGTTGAGTCAAAGAATATTTTTGTTTCACGATCTATTAATATTTAAGAAGTGTTAACTGAGTGCCTGAGGCACACAACACCGTTTTTTTATCCTCAGGGAGTCAGTGCACATGCGCATCAAGCACTTACTTTAAAAAGGCAGGACAAGATTTCACAACATTATCTCATAGGATCTGGAAGGCATACAGACAGTACTGGGAGGCAAGAGAAACCGACAGAACAATGTGTGTTTAATGCAGGACCTAACAAGACGGGCAGGAATTGTGTATGAGGAAAAGAGGCAAAACACCCCAGGCTGGGAAAATGGTCAGAGTGAAATCAGAAAAATAGTTAAAACAAAAAGGACACATTTAAAACTAAGTCTTCCCTTGTGCTGTTCAGGGCAGAGGTCAGAGCGCTGGAATTTCCCTCTAAGCTGATTGTAGTTCTGGCTCTCCATTTTAGCACAAGTGTGAATTTGTGCATATTTTCAACCCTGCAGCTAACATCAGTGATTTCAAAGTGGAAGGCGTGTATGATTTCCAGAAGTACCTAGCAAAGGTGTTTGTTATGGATGTAATTGCTTGTTTATCAAGGGAAATGGCACCCAAGAAACACGATTTCACATTACTATTCCTTAAAATGAGGCTCGGATAGTTGGTTCAAAGAATTTAGGAAGACTCTGAAGTAATTTAGGTGCCATGGAGGGAAAGAAATGACTGAAGTTAGAGAGACACTAGGCTCTAGTTTTCTCAGCTGTAAGAAGATGGGTCATATGAGGTCCTAAGCCCCTTCCAGCCGCAACAGTTCAAGATTCCACACAATAGGATCACAGGTTAAGTGCCTCTCAGCAATTCTACCTAGATGGATTTAACTTTAGTGACAGGTCACTGAATCTTTTCACAGATAAAAATTCTGGGACTTCTAGCTATTACTTTTCTAAAAATTGTGAATAAATATTTGTACTCTATTTGACAGTAAAATTATTTTTACAAATATCAAAAAGAAATTTAGCTGAGCATGTTGGCACATGCCTATAACCCTGCACTTGGGAAGCTGAGGCTGGAGGATCTTGAATTCAAGGACAGCCTGGCTTACATAGGGAGACCCCGTCTCAAGCAAATAATAATGCCACTTAGTCATCCTACTCCCTGATTTGAGTGTATCACCTCTACTGATTCAAGTTAATATGTGTTAACAGGACTGCAGGCAGAAGCAACAGGCAGGGCAGCAACACCTTTGAAAATTTCCAAAGGCATAGCCATACAGGAACCTGGGGGCACTCCTTTATACAGTACTGACTTCTCTGGGTCTTCTTAGCTATGTTATTCTCAGTGCCTACTGGTGTGTATGAGCAGGACCAGAAGCCCAGTGCAAAATGAAAGTGTGCAAGGCCTCTTACACAAAAATTATTAAGAATTTCCAGGGACCTGTGGAGTGGCTCAAGAGGTATAGTGCCTGCCTAGTAAGCATGAAGCCCTGAGTTCAAACCCAGTGTTGCAAAAAAAAAAAAAAAAAAAAAAAAAATTCTAAACAGAATTGCCAGATGGTATGAGCAGAGTATTAGCTCAGTGAAAGGCCCTGTGTAATGGCACAGACCACATCCTGTCATCCTGTGCAGTTTTCCACACGTGTCCTACTAATGCACACATTGTTCCCATCCCAAGCCTGGGGAAGTCAAAGGAAATCCAATAGTGTTTTCAAGGTGACAGCAGTGAAAGATGCATGGAATGACAACAATTTTTGCGCCTTTGTGGAGATATTCATTTGATGAGTGAGCAGAAATGAAAAATGGTAAAAAGTGAGAGCCACAAAACAGGCATGCAGAAAAGACCAGAAGATAATTGGGAACTGGAGGAGTCTGGAAAGGGAAATCTAGGAGAAGGGTTAATTAAGACTTACGCTTGGTCCTGAATGAAGCATAGATTTGGGGAGAAGATATGGGGTGGGGAAAGAAGTGAAAAGAAGGAATTAGTTACCTGTCTCTTAGCAGAGGCCAAAAGAGGGAGAAAGTAGCAGCTCTAACACTTCTGCTAACAGGGAAGGAGAGCAATTCCTCCTCAGCAGAGAAAACAAACCGCAGTTACGGTGCAGTTAGGGATGTAGCCTAGTGGTAGACCACTGGCCTAGAATGTGCTAGGCCCCAGGTTTGATCCCCAGCACCCCCCAAAATGATAACAAAACAAATAAAAAATTAAACTGCCCACATTTATCTGTAACTGACCATTAGTTTAGCTGCTCTATTTTAAGGGCTAGAAAGCAACTTTAAGTCCCTCCTAGGTAGCTGGTGTCTAAGAGCGATAGAGCTGACAGCTACACACCTCAAAATGACTTCTTCCCCTCTGCCTCCCAACCAAACCAGACCCCCTCACAGCCCCAGTCACAGGACACCAGTGGGCTGGTGGATGTCTGGGACGGGTTCTCTTCTGCTCTTTTGGTGACTCCCAGGAAAGTGAGAGGCCAGGTGTGCACCCCTAGAAGCTGAGCAGACACCCTGAGCTAGCCAGTCTTCCCAGCTGTTTCATTCACCTACACCTGAGAGTGGGCCTCCTGGCTCCATAAAAACAAAAACAGTGCTTCCAGGAAGGTGTAGCTGTTCTGCAGGGGTTGGAATAGGAGGAGAAAAAGATGCTGCTAGCAGGAGATGAAGAGGAAGGCAAGTACCAGGATACCAAGGAAAAGTGCTCCATTCTTTCAGGAGCGTTTTTTGCCTACAGTTCGTCCTTACTCTTCACAATGATCACAAAACTAGGAACACTAGGTCTTCCCAAAGGCCCAAAAATACAGTTAAGTGAGGACTCACCGCAGGCAAATGCTCCTCTTTGAATCTGGGGACTCAGCCTCCAAGGATGAAGTCGGGGACAGAGCTGTTGGCGACTTGCAGATCTTCTTTTTGTCCTCCACCCCATTCTCAGCCTCTGAACTAGAGAACAGAGAAAAACGCTTGATCTTAGACATCCAGAGGGAGGTGGAAGGAAAAATGATGAAGTAGTCTTGAGTTTTAGAGGAAGGAATGATCTTCAATCTCCACTGACAGGCTGGTCAGATCTGACAGCTGTCACCTTTCCAGTGTTCATTCCAACCCCTGCTGGCAAAAGCCTGAAGGGCAGAAGCAGCAAGTCACACCTACTTCACTTGTAAATGTCTGACTATGTAGGGACTTGCTCAGCTCTCAGGTCTGTGACTGTGGGCCCTGTGCTGCTCAAGTGCTGCCCGAGCTCTGCCCAGCCTAGGTGTGTGCAGATCACCTAGAGGCTGGGAGGGCCCCTGTGCATATGGCACACCCCTGCCCCAGGTGGCCTCCTGCAGGTGCTGGGAACCCCCACCCTCTTTGTTTGCACTTCTCTTATGTCACTTATCATCTTTTGTTATCCTTATGAAGGTCCCACTTTGGGTTGTTGTTTTAACCAAGCACTTCCCTGAGCAATTTAGTCTCTTTACAACCACCAGAGCTAGGGAGGAATCATTGCTTTCATTTTACAGGTGAGAAATCTGAGTCTCTCAGTGAGTATTCTTGCCTAGTTCACAAAGGTAGCATTTATCCTGGTTGGGATTCAAATTCAGCTCTGTCCATCTGCCAGGTGTTTGTGTTTCTCTCTCTCTTTCTCTCTATCCCCTCAACAACTTACTCATCCATTTATCCTCCTTACTGGCTCATCTGTGTGAGAACTCAAGGGTAGGTGGGGATCTCAGTAATCTCCACACTAACCCCAGGGTCTAGGATCGTGGTGATATATAGTCATGATCAACAGATTTTGGAAAAACAAGGTCCAATCCTGGTAAAAGAAAGATTGGAAGAGAGAAGAGGAGAGGGTCAGTCAAGAGAGTTTGCTCACGGAACCACTAACAAGTGGGTAAGGACCAGGATGGTGCACACAGAAGTAAGCTCCCTCAGTTGGTGGTGGAAGATTGCTTGAGGACAATTTTCAAGGTTGGCAGTGGGACAAAAAGCATACTTGTGAGACTCTATGGTGGCTGAGAATGAAGTATAAGAAGACGGCATTGCTATGACAGATGAACTTGAATCCTATTTTACCACTGAGTTGGTATTTTAAACTGCATATGACTACACAGGCAGGACATGTGTTGGTCCATTTAAGCCTTGTCGTTGTTGCTTCACAATTTTCACAGCCTGGGAACATTACAAGTCACACTGGGAGACCTATCCTAGCGTCAAAATCAAGATCTAGAGTACCTGGCAAGGGTAGTAATCAACTAACAATCTCTATGAATGGCCAATGTTCTCGTTTTGTAATTAGCATTTCTCTTTTCCTAAGTGGACAAATATTAGAGGACCGAGGCCCAGCTTTCTACTTCTTCAGTTTTTCCTCAAAGTACTTAGTGCATTAAAAGGACTTAGCCTGTAACTACACTGCATTATGTGACAAAAGTTTGGTCTGGGGACCAATAATATCTGAAACATTATTTGAAAGATGTTGCTTTGGCTTTGAATAAAATAATTGAACTTTATTTAATTTTAGCATCAATTTCATTTATGAACTCAAAGAGTTTTAAAACTGTGAAATGCCTTAGAGTGTATCTTCACCTTTTCTCTCTACCCCTTAATACAAGTTACTCCTATTTTTCAAAAGTACTGGGCAGAAATCCACTTGAGAAGTTTCAGTAGGAAGACCAGTTGTGTGTAAAATGTCAAAAATCCATCTCAGCATTCATTTAAATATTTACTAGTTTTATGCAGGGTCAGATTAGGATGCATAGTCCAAGTTGTCCTGTATAGCATTTTTATGTAGAAAGAGCAACTTTTGCTGAAAACTGAGGAAAAGGTGCTCCCCTGTTTGGATGTGGCCTTCTTGGTACATGGCCTAGCAGGTGCCCCTTGTTCTGGGCATGGACAGCCTTATCACCAAAGTGCACAAGGAAGTCAAGCTCAGGCTAGACTTGAGCCTCAACTTGACTTTGGCCCTTCTCGGCAAGGCACTCTTATGCAGTGCTTAGGTCATGTAGTAGTTTCTGTTTCAAGGACTGGCGCTTAGCACAAAAAAAGATTACAATGTACACCTCTACATGTCCTACACAGGTAGTGTCTTTCAGTGCAAAATACACAGGCATGCTCAAGTCAAAAAGACTCTTTCTAGATATTCTCCACCCCTCTATCCTTGAACTTGTGCACTGGTTCTCTTGCTTGGTGGCCGTATTGGGGGCTTATCTTCCTCAAAGCCTTCTGTCCTCCCTGGTCCCTTCCTAATTAATTAATAAATACCTAGAGCTTTTAACTTTCTTCCAATGTCTTAGTTATCCAACTATGATGCCAAGTTCCTTCACAGGGAAGGTCTGTTTTTTTCCACAGCCCTCAGCTTAGCCTTGCTCATAGTGGTCACTGATATGTTGAATGATGTGGGATTAATTTTGTATTGTCTCAAAGAGGAAGTGAATTCCATCTACGGGTCAATTCAATTTTAGATTTTTGTTTACTTAAAGCAGTAGAGGCTCAAGCAAGTGAGTTCCTAACAGGATAGATTTTTCCCGAAAGTACGTCTTGGAGGTCTGGTCAGCAGTAGGCTGAAACTATGTAGAATCCAAACAGTGTTTGAATGAGCAGAGTGGGAGGGGAAATGGAACACTTCCCCAAGGCCTCTCAGGAACGAGAAAGTCACTGTGAATGAAGATGAACAGGCTTCCTGTGATCATGAAAATAAGAAACTGGGTGTTTCTTTTCTTTCTTTCTTTCTTTTTTTTGGTGGTACTGAGAGTTGAACTCAGGGCACTCTATCATGTGAGCCACACCCTCAGCTCTTTCTGTGTTGGTTTTGAGATAGGGTCTTAAACCTCGATCCTTCCAATCTCTGCCTCCTCAAGCCTGAGATTATAGGCTTCAGCCACCAATGCCAGGTTTTTTTTTTTTTGTAATAAACGAGAAGACAAAGAATCTTCAGGGACATTGACTAAAAGAGTCAACTGTAAAATAAACAAGAAACAAACAAAAAACGTTCAATCTTCCTTTTTGAACAGATATCGAAAGATGTCAGCTGGGAGGATACTCAGAGCTTCCTAAAAGAGAGAGAAGTGAGCTGACTGACAGAAGTGAGCTGACTGACAGTCCTGAGCACTCAATGAAGCAGCAGGAGACACTGGAAACACTTGGCCTTAGCAGGTTACTTTTTCCCATCTCCAACCCAAATTAAGCATCAGTAAATAGACTTTGAAAGCTTTTTAGCAGGAATTTCAAAGTAGCGAGACAGCCATCCTTACACCATCTAAGCCTGATTTTACCTTTTAGAGGACTACATTTTTATTACCAGCCAGGAAAACACTGCCACTGTTACACAATCTATAAATAAGAAACAGGTTGGACCGTCCTTATCAACAATCCATTATTTGTCACTTCCCAGACCTCATTAGTCTGATGATGACTGAAATTCAGATTCACAACTTTTTAGACTTAGAATTCTTAGGCAGAGCCAATTATCATTCCTTCTGGAGATGGTCTCTGTGAGCTTAAGATAAATTTGACACTCTTTTCTCTTGAAGGGTCATTGTCCCAGGTCCTCGGCCCCTCCTCCTGAGGATGTAAGTATTCAGGCATCTCCACAAGCAAGACCAGTATAAGTAGCTACTGGGCAGAAGCTATGATTAAGCTGCATCTCACCAATGAAAACAAAGTCCTCACTGTGGTGTCCAGGAAGCTGTTTTCCTTTCCAATTACAGTGACAATTCCCTGTGTTTGTATCTATCTTCATGTTAAATTACTCTTAAGGGAAGGCATAAAAATATGCCACTAAATATCCTTATGCTAGTACATGTGGGGGTAGTTTTACATCCACTATCATAAAAAAAAAAAAAGAAGTCCCAAACCTTTCTGATTCTCATTTTTAAAACCACAATCTTCACCAACAAAGAGGATCTCCATTAATAAACTCTGAGAAATGGGATTGCTGTGGTAGAGACCGAGTCGGGTAAAGCAGTGTGTCAACCCTGAGCTGAAAACTCAGTTGGCCCCTGGACTCATCAGAACTTCATGAACCCTTGTTTCTAGTGTGCTGCCAGCTTGGTGGCTCCATGGCTGGCAGACAAGGGCACAATATTTGGAAAGCAAAGAGTTAACATATAGAGCCAGAGGAGGTTTTTGGTAACTGCTGGGCAGCAGCAAATAGTACAAATGCAGACAGACATTCTAGTAACCAAAAGAAGGAAGTACAGTGGGGGGCAGAAGCGCAGAAGCTGGTGGAGGAGACCAGGATGGCTGGGAGATCTTTAGCTTCTTCAGTTTGATCAATTCACAATCTCCCAAGGTAGATTTTTGTAAGTCAAGAGCAGCCTTCTATTTATAATTCTGATACAGTATATCTTTGTCTAGACACTTAAAGTTTCCCTATCTACATACTTATTTCTGAATAGGAATTATAGGTACTGGACAAAACTTAAGTTACAAACGGCCCAGTTTCTCTCCACAAAGGTCCCTCTTTTCTCAGAAACTTTTGTGTCCTTCCTGGGAAAATCTGTGTACACATAAGTGTATATGAGAGTGTACTTATATATAAATGATAATATACTCTTCTACATCTTTTTGTTTTGCTTACTGTTTCTTAATTCTCTTTCCTGATCAGTATACACAGACCTTCCTCATTCTAATGATTTCCACAGAGTTCCACTGCAATAAATGAACTATCATTTAACCCGTTCCTTTCTGACAGGCATTTCGGTGGATTTTAGTCTTTGCAAATACAAAGGGCATGGCAACAAATGTCTTTATGTTTATTATGTGTGTGAATATACCACAGGACAATTTCCTGGAAGTATAACTGCTGTGTCAAAAGACATGCGATTTAAAAAATGTTATAGGTAATACTAAACTGCCCCTGGAAGAGCTTCGGTGACCCACACCACAATTACATAGCAGTGTTTATACATTCCTACGGAAAAAAGAAAAGTGTTAAACTTAACAACATAATAATAATCACTTTA